TTCTATAACCAAGAAGATTTTTTATTATTAAAAGTTGAGGAAAAATTTTGAAACAAAATTGCGGAAAAGATTTCTATAGGAAAATAATATTAGTTGGAAAATTTTTCCTAAACTTTTCGGAGTACTTCTAGCCAAAAATAGAAAATGTTCTGAATTATCGAGTGTGCTGAATACGAAAAAGAACTCTTCAGTAACTCAAAACCAACTTTATATTTTTGTTCCGGTAATATGTTTCAGCCACGAAAGAATGAAAAAAATGAAAAAATTCAATAGCTTGTGAATTCAGACACAGAAGCCAAAAAGTTAAGAAAAATTTTTAAAATTGTATAATTTTACCATGGAGATTTTCTGCGTCAATTTGTTTGAAAATTTTTCTTAACTTTTTGGCCTCGAAACCCCTGGCTAAAAATAGAAAATTTTCGAGGTTATCAACTGTACTGAATACGAAAAAGCACTTTTCTTTAACTCTAAACAAACTTTAATCTTTTTTTATCAGTCATATGTATATTACAGAAAGCAACAGTCCCCAATATATCGACTTGATATGAATAAAAACTTTGTAAATTTGTGAAGTATATGTGTTACATATATAGGTGCAGTGGCTGCAAAACAAAAAGGTGAGTAATCCGAGCGTCGATATATCGAGTAATATATTGAGCTAGCTAGGTATGTCTAGTAGCATATAGTGTTAGCTAGTTAAATCGCCCGATAGTTGATATTTTTTTCCTTGAAATAATTCTAGTTTATAAAATTTCAGTCAAAAGTGTATCCTTCACAGTGAAACTTGCCCTCATAAAGACTGACTATATAAATTCTACCCAATCATGTCGAAGTACTAAACGAAAGAAGTAGAATCAAGTTCCAATGGGAGTTTCAAACTCGTTTTACTGTCAAATTTTTTCTGGCACGGCCGTAGAAAGCTGTACAACGCAGTACAATAGTAAAAAGCCGCACTGAACTTTCCGACAGCGGCGCAAAATTTTTTCTTATTCTATGGCCAAAATTTTCATCAGAACCAAACAATTTTCTACAGAAACGGGAACAAGACAAACTGGTTCCACCCATCTCTAGAGAGAATGACTTTTTTCAAAGATTCTTCTTCGGTCAGATTTCATCTAAAACATCATTATTTCTCACTAACAACAAATCATCATTCTGCATACATTACCACCTGTTGGTCCGACATATGATCAATGTGTAGCGGATAATAGTGCAGCCAAGTGTAAGGTGAACGTAATGTAAAGGTTGAGCAAGATTTTTCTTTCCACATTATTATACATCGTTCGATAGAGTTTTTTGAGTTGATTGAGGAAATGTATCTTACAACGTTTCAAAAATTGATTTTCATCTCTAAAAATCGAAAAAGCTAGATACAGCGCAAAAACTCGAAGATCGCTGTGAAAATTCACTTTTTCTAAATAAGAGACGAAAAAGCCGGAATTCTGCCCGTAATTTTCAAATTTCTCTATCTTAATTCAACTTCGGAGCAATAAAAAGTCACATCCGGAATTAAGATCAAACACTGAGTTGATTGAGGTGTATTTTGAAATGTTTAGTTGATTTGCAGCAGTTTATAATGAAAATCCCGGTAGCTTTTCAACATGAAAATTTGACAAAAATAAAAGTAGTCGGATAGGATAGAAATATACATCATTCAACTCAATATTTGATCCTAATTCCGGATGTGACTTTTTATTGCTCCGAAGTTGAATTAAGATGGAGAAATTTGAAAATTATGGGCAGAATTTCGACTTTTTCGTCTCTTATTTAGAAAAAGTGAATTTTCACAACAACGAAACAAAATTTTAGAAGAAGCGAGTCGTACTCTTAAAGCTGAGGTTTCAGCGAATCTAATAAAATGCAAACGATCGCTATAGTCCTTGATACAAAATACTAGCGAGGTTTACAAAATTCGATGCCGCCATTTAAGACTACTAGTTTGGAAGGTCCGTGTTGGACAGCCCTTTAATTTTGAACATTATCGATCCACGTTTTCTTATTTAGTTTTTGACGCGGAATAAGGAAAAAAATAGTTTGAAACTTATATACTACTACGCAGCGCGAAAATTCTCGAAAAATGAATTTGAGCGATCTTCGAGCTTTTGCGCTGTATCGAGCTTTTTCGATTTTTAGAGATGAAAATCAATTTTTGAAACGTTGTAAGATACATTTCCTCAATCAACTCAAAAAGCTCTATCGAACAATGTATAATAATGTGGAAAGAAAAATCTTGCTCAACCTTTGCATTACGCGCACATTATGTTTATTATACGGCAAATAACATCATTTTGATTGGATCTGTCATAGCTGACAAACGGGACCTGTGTTATCAGAAATTGTACAACATTATTATTATTCACATTCTGCTTGTGAATAATCTAATCGTCGTTTCTTCGTCTTTATTTGCAATAATATTCGACCTTCATGTGAAATAATCATTTTTAGGGGCATTGAGAAATGATAATTTTTCAACTTCTGAGAATCGCGTAAGTCCCACACATTTAAAGATGTTACAATGCATTAAAGCTTTACAAACATTATAGACGTTGACAAAAATAATGGATTCGGACATCTTCGTTTCGCATGGATAACTCTAGATTACATGTAGTAATTTAACGCTTTCGACTGTAATCAATTAGTTATGATACAAAAACACAGTTGTAGCTACTCATACACAGAGTCAAAGTTGTGTTATTACAGATTTCTTATAAGTAGGATGATGAAAACCCGAATACTTTAGCTCATTTCTTTCTCGAGTTATTGAACAAACAACCACAGGCCTTATAATTCGAAAAGAATAGTACAAATTTTAGCAGGATAAAAAGAGTAAATGTTCGTCTGATTTTTCAAAGTTTTCTGCTGGAAATATTCATCAAACAGCACGTTCGGAAATTTTCTGAATGGTGTTTTAAAAAAAAGGTTTTTCTTTTATTACTTTATCGAAAAGTGATACTAATTTGATGAATATTTCTATTTACAAGGAGCAGTAACACCGAAAGTATTACTGTTATTAGTAATAGAAATACATCCAGTATTGCTGTTGCCATCAACAGGTATACCTTCACTATTGCTCTCCTGAGTAATGTAATACGTGACTAACGGTAATATACCACCCTTATTGACTACCAGTAAACAAAATGTGTTCATTTCAAAAAAGAATTGACTCCATGTTTTTCCGAATAACCTTTCTAAAGGGTTAAAAAAGAGCTGCGCCTTTCATCATTCAACATATGAGACTTGTAAGCATCTTTTCGCAAGAGAAACTAATTTGGAAAAACCTTTCTGAAGTAGATCTTCTTTGAAAAACTCGGTTACAGCTCAAAAAAATGAAATCAGATAAAATTTGAAAAAATAAAATAACATAAAATACATTTTAAATAGCTAAAATCTATGCGTCCACAATCAAGAACTGAAGCTGTAAAAACGAGTTATCTCTTTGAACAAGCAACAAATCAATTAAAAATATTAAAATATGATGAAACTAATAAACATTATGATACGCTAAAATAAATTTAATATTTGTAATAGCACTGTCGACGTTAACAGAAAATAGGCAAGGACAAAAGTTGTTAACATAAAAAATATACAATAATCACAGTTATAATGTAAGAGATATTCTAGTGGAAAATAACAAACTGACATATATAACTAAAAATACCGATGATTTCAGATCGTCTTACCATTGTTCAATCGTCTCTTTTCAGGTGATTAACTATCTACTATCGCATCGCAAAACAACTACAACAAAAACAAAGGAGAAATAGCCGATGACATGTAACTAAAGCCAAACCGAACAAGCTAAAGAATACTTAAGTAAACACGCATAGAAAATTTGTCAATACACTACAGGTGGAACCGCTACAGGAAATCGCAACCGGATCGGACCGGTCACTCCAGATTATCCACTCACAGGCTGAGACACGCAAAAGGGTCTTAAACCGGCAAAAAAACAACGAAAAACGGACAAAAATAAGGGTGCTGACCAAAAACTTTCGAATCCTCTCCCACGTTTTCTCTGATGTAGTGACTGTAAGAGACATTCTTTTGCTCACAGCATCTCATTGAAAAATCGTAATATTATCTGGAATCATCAATATTTTTTATTTATATATGTCCGTTTGTTCTTTTCTGCTGGAACATACCTTATATTATCACTGTGATTATTGTATTTTTCTGTATTAACAACTTTTGTTTTTAACTATTTTCTGTTAACGTAATTGATAAGACCGTGATTACACGGTGAATCAAATTATTAAGTTGATGTTGAAGAAGCGGTTTGATTAGAAATGCATATTTCCCTTCTCTCAAAGTAGCACTAATTCCTAAATATATTCATTATTTTTACATATTTATGAATATGTATACATTTTTTCAGAAAATTCAGCGCTTGAAACGAACATTTTTGTGCCGTTATATAGCCTATCTATCGAAGTGTATTTGACACTATTTAAATTTTGAAAATGCGTATTGCCAGTTTTTCGGCAAATGTCTGTCTGCAAATGCCCGCTGAGCCTCGTGTATCTGTTTTATCTTGTTCCATATGGCTTACAGTCCTATATAGAAGCATTTGCGAAATCAAATTTATGTTATCAAAAGTATCTTTACTCAATGAATATTTCTCGCCTTTTTCAATTTGTTTTCTACATGCGACCTTTATTCCAAGGCTTTTATTAAGCTTTTTCCTTCTACCTTTTAATCATGAGCGACAAGATTTTGCTTAATAATCTTAGCCTATTCCCGCTACGAGATGATTGCTCTCGAAAAAAGCCGTTTCACAAGTTCGTGTGACTGTTCAGTGTCCGAGAAAGAGAACGAGTGTATTGTGCCAAGCAACGTGTATAAAAGAACAAGTTACAAAAAGGTGCCGTAAAAAAATTCAACCATAACAATAGTTAAACTAAAAACACGTAAAACAAGAACGCATGAAAGCGATGTGCAATCCGGAATTGCTAGAGACCCATTGCAGCATGTCACAGAGACCTATATTACGAGTCATAGCGTCAATCTTGCTCACTTTGACCGCCCGATCCCGCACCATTCGGACCCTGATTCTTGCCTGAGCCTTGTGCGCCCTGGCTGCTGTTTGAGCCTTGTCCACCTTGATTGTTGTTTGAGCCGTGTCCACCCTGATTCGTGCCAGAGCCTTGACCACCCTGATTATTGCCAGAGCCCTGTCCGCCCTGGTTGCCTTGTCCACCTTGATTGCTATTAGACCCTTGTCCACCCCGATTCGTGCCAGAGCCTTGACCACCCTGATTATTGCTCGAGCCCTGTCCGCCCTGGTTGCCTTGCCCGCCTTGATTGCTATTAGATCCTTGTCCACCCTGATCCTTGCCTGAGCCTTGACCACCGTGGGTGCTGTTTGAGCCTTGTCCACCCTGATCCTTGCCAGAGCCGTGTCCACCCTGATTATTGCCCGAGCCTTGTCCACCTTGATTGTTATTTGAGCCTTGTTCGCCCTGATTCTTGCCTGAGCCTTGATCACCGTGAGTGCTGTTTGAGCCTTGTCCACCCTGCTTCTTGCCCGCGTTTTTATTGATTGGTGCACTGGTCACGTAGCACACGAGTACCTAAATCATAGAAATGATAAAACAAAGATAGTCGTTGTGCGGATTGTAGTTACTAGTGAAGCGACGACGAGTGCGGCCATGGTGGTGCTTTTCATCATTTTTCGTTCTGTAGCTTTTCAGGTGAGGATATTGTTTGTGTTCTTTCATCTTATCTTCTGCATATTGGTCGTGTTTATATATACTATTTGGTAGTATGTCTGCCGATGTTTTTGTGCATGACTTTTTTCTGCCTTCATCCCGTTAGTTTTCTATGCGGACAAAGCTGTGACAATGTAACCACAAACTTTGACATATCGCCCACCAATCGGAACCGTGCTGCAGCACGTAGGTTGGATAGAGAGAGACTCGTCGAAATTTTTCTGTAGACCGGGCGGACATCTGATTTCTTGAGTTAGAAAATGATTATTTTCGCATAGTGTAGTCTTATTATACGTCAGATATTAATACAAGGAAAAAAGGTCGAATTTGAAAAAAAATCTTTATTGGATAAAAAATGTCTTTGGCGGACACTTGCTCTATATTTTTGTCAGAAAATGTTTAGTTTTAAAACTAACAAATTATACATCACTCGATGTAGTTTTTCAGGCTGATCCCGAATATCACATTATTTCCCTAATAAAACGTTTCTTAACCGAGAAAAATGGAAAATACCGCAAAATAACGACGTTTCTTCAGAAAACGTGTATCTAAGTCTAGAAGAAAAATCGCATCCACCATAGATGCATGACATGTGATTCTGGTGATTCTGGTATAATTTTGAGTGAAACTGGACCTTGGCTAACTTTAGCGATCCGATTATGCTGAAGACAGCCACCGGAAACATCGTTTGAGTTCGAAAAATACCTTATTTCTCCGGTATAGTTGGTCTGAACTGACATATTTTTTTACTGGTATATAGTTCAAAGAGTCTATAGACTCTTTGAAGGTACTTGTTGCAAGTACTTGATTATCTGCCAAGTACTTGTCAATGATCGAAATACTTGCCTTATTGCTAAGAAGTACTTTCTGAAAGTACTTGGCAAGTAAGGACAAGTACTTACAAGTAAATTTACTTCTGGGAAAAAGGCAAGTACCGTTTTGTTTGATGTAGTGACTGTAAGAGACATTCTTTTGCTCACAGCATCTCATTGAAAAATCGTAATATTATCTGGAATCATCAATATTTTTTATTTATATATGTCCGTTTGTTCTTTTCTGCTGGAACATACCTTATATTATCACTGTGATTATTGTATTTTTCTGTATTAACAACTTTTGTTTTTAACTATTTTCTGTTAACGTAATTGATAAGACCGTGATTACACGGTGAATCAAATTATTAAGTTGATGTTGAAGAAGCGGTTTGATTAGAAATGCATATTTCCCTTCTCTCAAAGTAGCACTAATTCCTAAATATATTCATTATTTTTACATATTTATGAATATGTATACATTTTTTCAGAAAATTCAGCGCTTGAAACGAACATTTTTGTGCCGTTATATAGCCTATCTATCGAAGTGTATTTGACACTATTTAAATTTTGAAAATGCGTATTGCCAGTTTTTCGGCAAATGTCTGTCTGCAAATGCCCGCTGAGCCTCGTGTATCTGTTTTATCTTGTTCCATATGGCTTACAGTCCTATATAGAAGCATTTGCGAAATCAAATTTATGTTATCAAAAGTATCTTTACTCAATGAATATTTCTCGCCTTTTTCAATTTGTTTTCTACATGCGACCTTTATTCCAAGGCTTTTATTAAGCTTTTTCCTTCTACCTTTTAATCATGAGCGACAAGATTTTGCTTAATAATCTTAGCCTATTCCCGCTACGAGATGATTGCTCTCGAAAAAAGCCGTTTCACAAGTTCGTGTGACTGTTCAGTGTCCGAGAAAGAGAACGAGTGTATTGTGCCAAGCAACGTGTATAAAAGAACAAGTTACAAAAAGGTGCCGTAAAAAAATTCAACCATAACAATAGTTAAACTAAAAACACGTAAAACAAGAACGCATGAAAGCGATGTGCAATCCGGAATTGCTAGAGACCCATTGCAGCATGTCACAGAGACCTATATTACGAGTCATAGCGTCAATCTTGCTCACTTTGACCGCCCGATCCCGCACCATTCGGACCCTGATTCTTGCCTGAGCCTTGTGCGCCCTGGCTGCCGTTCAGCCTGGTCGATCGAATGTGTAACAACAGAGTTTAAAATATTTAGTTTCTTTGTTACGGAGATAGACGTACGGACGGAAAATGCTTATAATTGCGGAATCATCAAAGCTAAAAGTCTGGAACGAGTCATTCAAGATGGTTATGTTCTTGTCCCTATAAATCTTTATATATTGCATCAGCATTTCGTCCGATCAATCGAACGTATCACGTGAAATTTCTCCCAGTGAAACTTCGCAATGGGGAGTAATCACCACATATGGAACCAAGAAAAAAATGATGAAATTCCGTTCCGG